TTTTTTTTTTCTAAAAATCATTTTTCATATCAATCAAATATCTTGTTCGTCTCACGTTCTTTCAAAACTCTTTTTTCCTATATATTTATTTTTAATAACGCATTCACATAATAAAATATTCTACACATAAATAAAAATTTTTCTACTTTTTAACCATACATTCTTCGAAAATTCATTGTTCAAAGTAATATTTTTCTAAAAAAGGTCCCCAAACAGGAGCTTAGTTAAAATAGCGTAGCAAATTAATTTTATTTGTCGTTTCATTTATTTACTTATCTATTTTTTATTTACTTTTAAAATACAATTTTAATATAAAAATAAAATAAAAGTTGGGACGGTGTCATCCTCTAGATTTAAGGGAGGAAATTATCATATGCGATCACCGTTGCGTTGAGTTAAAAGAATTAAATGTTATTGGTTGAAATTTAATATAATAGAGTTTAGGTTTTTAGAAGAGAAATTGCAATTAATTCTACATTAAGTGGGGTATTAAGAGTTTAAATTATTTCAATTCGATATGTAAGGTACAAATAACAGTATTACAATTTATTTAATTTTTTTTTATTACAATTGCTATAAATTTTATAATTTTAAACTGCAAGAAGTAAAAATAAGGATCTGTTCGATAGTAATTATAAGAATTGATTTTTTAATCATTAAAGAGAAATGCAAAGGTCGCTGAGAAAGTAAAAAATGAAGGTTAGAATAGTGAAATAACTCTTGACGTAAAAAATCACTACCAAATGGGTGCGACGAAGTATACATTTGATTTTACCTAATTTAATACTTTTATTAAATAAAAATAAATACAACTATTTATAAATTTATTTAATACACAAATCCGGCCACCTCAATTTCTCAAGTCAATGATACCTCAGCCAGTCAGATAAAATATAAAATTATCTCTGAATTCTGAGTTCTGTACTTCAGTGTTCAGAAATCTCAAAATAATCTATGGGTCGGAAACCGAATGTCTCCGAGCCGACTCGTTGGGCCTCTCTGATCCTGCTTTTAATCGGTTTGGTATCTTGTTCGATGATCTACATGTTCGTGATATTGGTTTTAAGGCCATCAGTACCAGAAAATGATTCAAATGTTGAATCATTAGCACTGGCTGAGTCCGATGAAAATGGTGAAAAGTGGGTTAACGGCGTAAAGAGTGGCGGCGCTACTGGTGGGTTGTGTTGTAAAGGGATTGATAATTTGGAGCTTTGGGGGGCTGCTGTCAAATGGGGCACAGATTTCAAATTCAATTCTTCTGGTGAATGTTGTAAAGCTTGTAAAGCCATGTGTACTGGAAATGATGGGCCTTGTCTTTGTGATACCTGGGTTTTTTGTGGGAATAAGCAGGCTTGTGGGAACAAATTCGGTGAGGTTAGTTGGAATTTCTTTCTCTTTTGTTTTAATTTCTGTCTATAATCTTCTATGTACTTGATTGGTAGAGGATAGATATGGCTGTTTTTCAAATAAATTTGTGTTCTTTGAATGTTTGTGCTGGTTGCAGAATTGGAAACTTAGTTCTCTAATATAGTGTTGGAGAAATTACAATTTTATGAAAAAATGTAACTAAAGTTGAGAGCCAAATATGTAGATGGTAAGCCCGAGACGTTGATGTAGATTCAAGTTCTCTATGACTAGAACAATTAAGAAAACTGGTCTAGTGGAAATCTCATGACCTGCTTTCCAAGATTAATTAGCCAACTAAAATTGTGAAGTTAAAATTAATGTGCACTATATATTGAGCTCAAAGCCCTATGCTAATTAGTGCGCATTAGTAGAATTGTTGTGTTTGCGCATTAGTGCATGTATAAAGCACACAGGACATAGTAGGAGAAGTAATGTAGTAGTAAGTATTTGTAGATTCTTCCCCATCAATATGATTTAGCTCAACGAACCATTAATTATCACCGTCATCGACTCTGTGATTGACAGAATAATTTTTATTTTTTATTCCGTTGTTTCAGTGTTGGTTGAAAAAACAGAAGGATATACTGGTCCCTGAAAAGCAGGATGTAGGAAACAAAGTCATGTGGACTTCTGGCGTTGTCTTTGGAAGAGGAGAGGTATACAAATAACTGAATTGTCTTTGGTTACTTCTTACTATTTTCTACGATGTAGCCAGTAACTATCTCTCTCCGTGTTAATAATTGCTGCATTCTTTTAATTGTTACTTTTTCTCTTCCTCTCCCCGCGCTCTTGCCCTTTTGATGTTTTCCTAATAAACCGTCAAAAGAGTAGTCTTTCATTTCTTCTTGATGCTGGACTCCTGTGGATTATGAATTTTTCTTCATGAATTAACTTTTCATTCTCTCTTTTATTGTTTAAGGGTATTGTTGGCTTAGAGACAGAACATGGTACTCTTCATATCAAGGTATACATTCATATTCTTGAGTAAGTGAACAGGCCCATAAGTTACTCTCGTGGTTACGTAACCAGATTCATATAATTGATTTAATCACGGAGTGGTTTCTTGTACATCTGGATCACGTCAAGGAAAGAAAGTTTCCAATGGCTGCCATTGCAATCTCCAGTAACCTTTATAATCTTGTATTTATGCATCCAGACATTTCAAGCACCAATGAAAGAAAAAAACTAAATGATTACTGTGCTAATCTCTAATAAGCTTTATAGTCTTGTATTTATACATAAAATCGCAATTGTGTACCTGCATGTGAAGACAAATTAACAACATTCATATAAGCACACTGCATTTAGAGATTTGCTAAACCATCATGTAACTAGTTTTCTGTTTTGCCTTTGTTGATATATGTTGATATTTGCTTTAAATGGAGTGGTAAGATGATCCCAATAATAATTAGTTGGAATGTGAGGGGCTCAATGAAGTCGAGGAAAGGTTAGGCATTCAAAATCCGATAAGAGGTTGAAAGGCTGACCTTGTATGCTTACAAGAAACAAAGTTGGAGGTCGTTTTGAGGGCTGTTGTGACTAGTCTATGGGGGGGACAACATGTCAGGTATCAGTTTTTGGGGTTATCGGAGGCTTCAGGAGGTGTGCTAGTCATGTGGGACACTATAGTTTTTTATATGGAGGAGGTTAGTGAAGGGCTATTTTCTCTTGTGCTTTCATTTAAAAATATTGGGGATGGATTTCAATGGATGTTTATAGAAGTTCATGCGTCTAATGTTGATGAGAGTAGAGGTGGATTGTGGGATAGGCTGGCTGGTATGATGGCTTGGTGGAACCTTCCAACGTGTATTGGAGGAGATTTTAATATGGTTTGATTTTCTATTGAGAGGTATACTGGTGGGAGATTAACGGAGGCCATGGAGGACTTCTCAGATTTTATCAGGGAGAACATGTTGGTATACCTGCCTATGATTGGAGGAGATTTTACTTAGTCATTTAATCGAGATCAACCTATCTTGTCCTGAATAGATTGGTTTCTCGCATGTGGAGAGTGGGAGGAAAAGTACCCAGAGGAGATTGGGAAGGGTGTATTCAAATCATTTCCCTATTTCGTTATCTGAGAATGTGAGGTGCACTGGAAGAAGGCCCCATTTAAGTTTGAGAAGATATAGCTAAAAATAGAAAGTTTTGTGGAGCGAGTATGGACGTGGTGGGCATCGTATGACTTCAGGGGGTCTCCCAATTATGTGTTGGATCAAAAATTGAAGCTTTGAAAAAGGATTTGAAGAGGTGGAATGAGGAGTTGGGGGAGATATTAACTGTCGTAAAAAATCAATGCCTTTTAGATATAGAAGACTTGGATAGAAAGGAGGAGAGTCGAGGATTGGTAGGGGATGAGAGGGAGAGATGTGGAGAATTAAGATGAAGTTGGAGAGGTTGGTAAAGATGGAGTAGATTGCTTGGCGTCAGAAATTTGGGGTTGAAGAATGCACTCAGTTTTTTCACGAGGTTGCTAATTCAAACTGACGAAACAATTCTATCACTATGTTGGAGGTAGATGGGGTTACTTATGAGGAACCGCATGATATCGGGACCTAACTAGTGAGTTTCTCTCAAACTCTTTATCAGGAGCAGTTTGACTCGAGGCTGGAATTGGAAGGCTAGACTTTTTCTACTATTAATGAGGAGAATGCCGATTGGTTAGAGAGACCATTTGAGGAGGATGAAATTAAGGAGGTGGTGTTCAGAATGAATGACGACAAGGATCCAAGATCGGACAATATTTCTTTCTCATTCTATAAGGTTTGTTGAGAAGTGGTGCGATCGGATATTATGGTTGTCCTTACTTGGTTTTTCCAGTGTGGCAGGTTCTTGAGAAACTCCAATGCTACATTTATTGTGTTGATTCCTAAGAAATCGGGAGCAACGGATATTAAAGACTTTCGTCCTATCAGTTTATTGAGTGGGATAGACAAGATTATTGCGAAGATTCTGGCGAATTGATTAAAGGAGGTGCTAGAGAAAGTGGTGTCTAAGTTTCAAATTGCTTTTGTCAATGGGTGCCAAATTATGGATTCCATACTTATGGCGAATGAATGCATCGACTTAAGAATGCGTCTAGGGGTTCCAGAGATGTTATTTAAGCTTGACATTCAAAAGGCTTATGATCACTTAAATTGGGAATTTCTTTTGTATATGCTCAGACAATGTGGCTTCTGAGATAAGGTGGTGCCAGTAGATTTTTGTTTTGTATCTCTACTGTTTCTTTCTCAGTTATGGTGAAAGACACTCTTGAGAGTTATTTTCGGAGTAGTAGAGGATTAAGGCAAGTGAATCCTTTGTCTCCATTACAAGGGGTTTATGATTGATTAGCTGCAGGTATCTCATTTGTTGTTTGCATTATTGCATATGATACACTAATCTTTTGTGATGCAGATGTTGAGCAATTCAGGAACCTGTGTCGTTTGCTTCTGTGTTTTGAAGCTATATTTGGACTGAAGATAAATCTTGGGAAATCTGAAGCTATCACAGTGAGAAAGGTCGAGAACGTGGAGGAGTTGACTGCTTTATTGGGTTGTAAGGCTGCTTATGTCATATCTTGAGCTTCCTTTAGAAGCACGGTTTAAAAGTATACATTTTTGGAACAATATTATGGAAAGGGTGGAGAAAAGGCTAGTGGAGTGGAAGCGTATGTACCTCTCAAAGGATGGTCGTCTTACTCTCATTAAGTCTACTTTATCGAATCTTCCTACTTATTTTTTATCATTGTTTCCTATTTTTGCTGCAGTGGCAAAAAGATTGAAGAGGATTCAAATGGAGTTTCTGTGGGGAGGAGTAGGGAAGGAGAAGAAATTATATTTGGTTAACTGGGATGCAGTTTGTTCTCCAAGGTGTGGATTTTCGGATTGAGGAGCCTTGTATTGTTTAATAAGGCCTTGTTGGGTAAGTGTTTGTGACGACTCGAAATGGAGAAGGAGGGTTTTTGGAAAGAAATTATAGGGGCAAAATATGATGGGCAAGGGTTGGTGCTCAGTCGACGGCCGTGGCTCTTATGGGGTGAGTTTGTGGCGGTATATCCGTCGAAGGTGGATCTTTTTTAGGATAGATTGTCTTGGGAATTGTAATACTATTAATTTTTGGGATGATTGTTAGTTCGGAGAGCAACCGCTTAGGACAGGATTTCCTCTTTGTATCCTATTACTTTGGAGCTATCTACTACGGTGAATGAGATTTAGATATACATATTGAAAGTCTCAATTGGAACATTGTTTTTCGGTGGGGTTTGTAGGACTGAGAAGTGGATGATTATGCGTTGCTTCTGACATCTTTGTATAAGGTGCACTTCAGGGTAGGAGACGGTGATTGTATCAGGTGGAGGTTGACACGAGATGGTATCTTTTCGATCAACACTTATTTTAGATCCTTATTGAGACCCGTGGAGAGTTCATTATGTAAATTACCTCCAAATGTGGCATTTTTACTTTGGACGGTTGTTAGGGAACAGGGGTTAATGGTGGATAACCTTCGAGCTAGGGTTTTTATGTTATAGAGTGGTTCTATGTGTGTAGGAGGGATGAGGGAGACAATTGACCACTTATTCCTTTATTTTGATGCTGGTCGTTTGCTGTGGAACGACGTTCTGGCATTTCAACACATGGATTGGATGTTACCGAGGTGTATGGAAGACGTGCTAAAGGCATATAAGAGAAAGTTCCATGATAAGGATAGCAAGCTTGTGTGGGACCTTATTCTACGTTGTATTGTATGGAGTGTGTAGAGAGAAATATACAACCTCTGTATTGATTATCAAACACGGACAACAAAGCAGATTATGGAAGTGTATTTTTGACATTGTATACTTGGTTTAATGCTACGGCTACTAGGCATATAGACGGGATGCCCAATTTCGTGTTGTTTCTTTCTGACTTAAAGTAAATACACTTCCTATGTATTATTCCTTAATTAATAAAATATTGGATTACCTTTCAAAAAAAGAGTGGTCAAAGTCTGTCATAAAATTAATTCCTAGCTTTTAATTAGTCAATTAGATTATATAATTATGCAAGGAACCTCCTTGAGGGTGTGCTGAAAAAGATTGACACTCTGAGTCAGGAAAGCATGTCAACACGTTACATTTGTCTTGATCAGTAAAAGGTTTAGTTATTACTTATTGGTCGTATTTTCAGAGACAATTTTCAGTTGTCCAACATACCAAAAATATATATGTTCATATATGAACTAAAAAAAAGTGCATCCTACTCATGCTTCCAACTCTCTTTAAAATAAAATGGCACTAGAAACAGTACTAGAAACTATTTTCGTATTATATTATCCAAAACATTCTACGTGTTTTTGATCCACCGGTAAATTTAGTTTCCAGAACTTACTAAAAGAAGTCTTTACGAAATGAGAAATCTTTTACAAAATACTCCTGAAAAGGTCACAATTTCTAACTACGAATCTATTTTACTTTATATCTCTGTCATGAGAAGCAAAAGTGTATTGAATAAAAAACCACTGAAGAAAATGGAAGAGTTGAGTGAGGAAAGAAGAGACTTGAAATTTAGAGGAAGATAGTGAAGTTTTGTACCGCAAGAGTATATTTGGTATGCAATGCTGGACATGACTAAGCGATATAATTGGTAAAATTTTAGCTTTTTTTTACCTCTTTAATGTTATCAAGTACTATTCAATTCACTGTAGCAAACATGCTATAAGTGAAGTAGAGAGAGAAAATGGGCAGAGTTTCTTGGATGTTATTTAATATACTTCTGTATTTATTAAAAAAATATTTCACTGATGAACTTTATAATTTTGTGCAGCTTTTCCCTGATTGTTCTCCACTTTCAGTCAAATACATCCTAGAGTTGTTGGCAGTACGCCATTGTGCAGGTTGCCATTTCTATCGAGCAGAAAGTCGTGGTCAATCTTGGGATGCAAAAGGAAAACACATCGAAGATGTAAGAACTAAACATTGTTTCTTGGTCTTGTGCATCCCTGATCATTGTATTTGCATATGTAGTCTTGACTACTAAGAGGAACTTAGGAGTCTGTTCTGTTCATTCAGAGTCATCATTTTGATTCATTTCACTTGCCTGATTATTATCCCCCCCGTTTGATGGTGCTTAAAAGGCTGATCATTAGCAATTTTGCAACTTTGAAACTTCAAAATCTCAATAAAATATTAAACAAACTGACCCACACCTGATTTCATCCCCAACATTGCACAATGTCTATTTTCCCTCTTAATTGTGAATCCCTTTCTACCCTTGATTTACATGTTGAAAAAGACTGAATTTTATGCGTTTGATTTCCCACAGCAATACTGGTAAGGCCATTTCCAGTATTTCCCATAAATTTGGCAAAGACATGCCATATTTTGTTGGAAAAGCGGCATAATTGTTTAACCAATTTTATACTCGCACACAATCCAAAATAAAAGATATTTTTCAAACTAGTGTCATTTAGTTCTTCTTTCACACATTTGTGAAGAGGATGTTTGGCTAAGCTTAAAATTAATTCAAACTTACTTTTAAGTGGATTTTAATTCTAAACATGTTTGGATATGCTACTTTTCTTAATTGAAGTAAAAAATAGTCACTTATTTTGACATCAAGGAAAGGGTTATTTTCAAAATAAGTACTTGCTTATTTCCTACTTTGACCAACAAAAGAGTTATTTTTATTGAACTTAACTGTTTACCTATAAGCAATTATTTTAAGCTTAGCACATATTCCTATGTGCATGCCTACAAAATTCCATGAAATCTGTAGTATTAGATCAGTTTTAGAGGAATTTAAAGCGGTAGAGAAACTAGATATCATTCATTTTAATCTCTTTCTCCTTATTACTTTTATTTATCCTCCTATAAATGTTTATGGTCAAGATTTGCTAACCTTATTACTTAACTCTTTATTTCTGTTTGTGTTTTTGTTTTATGTTTCAATGCGTTGGACTGATTTTTTTAGTGACTGATGATAAGTTATTATTTTCCGCTGCTTTAATTTGTTTGGAAAATCATCTGATTATTCCATTTGCTGGAAAATCATCTTGATTTCATCTTCTTTTGTCTTTTCAGGCTTCCTTTGGTCCTCCATTTGCTCTTGTTCAAGGAACACTTGATGCCCAAGGAATGACATTCAATAAAATCCCGTCAGAGTACTGCCCTACCATAAGAAGAGGATCAGTAGCATGGGTTGGCTCTGGTCCTGAATTCTTCATAAGCTTGGCAAATCACGAAGAATGGAAAAATTCATACACCGTATTTGGTTCTGTACTTCCCGAAGACTTGATGATAGCAGAGAAAATTGCTCAGCTTCCAAAAAAATCAGATGTTTGGAACAACATTAATGTGTCAGTTTTAGAAAACCCTGTACCTCTAAGGATTCAAAGAATGAAGATTAGTGTGTCGTAAACTTGTAACTAGTTATATGCCAATAAGAAGATATCTGAATTGAGTTTAACTGATACTTTTTGTATGATGTATTATAGGTTTCGTTCCATGGTTCTGCTTTTTGTCTTTGTTGTACCATCGTTTATTCGAGTTTTGTAAATATAACAATGCAAATGTATGTTATTACCTTTTTGAAGTTGAAGTTGAAGCATTATGCAACAGTTGCAGAACAAGTTGGGGCCATTTGTTGCATTGCTTCCTTTTT